CCCATCCTATCACTCCAAATTCTCCCGCCCCCACCCACCTAAGACTGTAAGATCAAGCTGCATTTAGCCTCTTTAGCATTGCTTGCCATCTAGCGGTCACAAGGGTAACTGCAAGCTTACCAGGCTCCTTGGTTGGGGCCGGTTTACAGTCTGGGAAGCTTTCCCGAAGGTGCTAGTACAATTAGACATTCTCTTCAGACATTCAGTTCTGTGGTGTTGAGACTTAAGCCTTCTCTCTGAGATTGTGTTTTCCACGAAAGCCTTTCCTGTCTCCATCGATCTTCAGTATTTTGTCCAGTCTACCTGTAGGCTCAGCTCTAGGAGGGGAACCACTAACAGTTTCCGTTCCATACAGGCAGACTTACTTTTCCAGTATTATAACAGTTCCCCAGTCACAGCAAATAACCCTCCTCATGAGTTCTGAATTTGTGAATTTTCCCATACACTAAATGTGTACTTTACAGTTTCATGGAAGCAAAATTGTATTTACAGTTTTATATGTTCAGAATCCAGAAGTTTAAGTAAGATTTGTGATGTTCAGTTCTGAGTCTCATTTTTAATTTGTTTTTAAGCAGTAGAAGCTTTGCCTGCTTTATATTCTTTTGAAAATATTTATTTCCTGTTTTTAATTGTGTGTGTGTGTGTGCGCGCGCGCACGTGAAGGAGGCCAGAGCAGTGGTGTCCTCTAGAATGACTGGCAGTTTTGTGCTACCCAACGTGGGTCCTGGGAGCTGAGCGCTGATCCTCTGTGAGAACAGTGCTGCTCTGAACCCCTGCTCTACACCTGTCCTATGGGACACTTGGACCCTAGGAGAGACGATGTTGCCCACTTGTGTGTGGCTCTGAAATGACTAGTGAGCGCCGTGTGCAGCTGCTCTGTTCCTCATGTGGAGAAAATATTTTTCAGTGATTGTATATGTGCTGTGGAAGCAGTAAAATGCATATACTGCCTGAACTCCAAGAGCCAGTGTACAGTACCAACTTTGAATACATACTCAGAAGATATTTGAGACAGTGGTTTTCTGTTGTGCCACAGTACCTGGGACTGTGATCTGGCTTTGCTTCTTTCCTGCCTCCGTTGCCTGTGTTCTCATTTCCCACATTCCCTGCTAAAGGTATTGGGCCTCTGTATAACCCCCTGAGGCCCATATATCCTGTGGTCTTTTAGTGTGTGTGTGCCACCTAGTGAGCAAAAGCGTAACTGCAAGCTTTAATGGCCCCAGAAAGCAGCATGAGCATCAAAGCAATTTCTGAAGAAGTGATGGCACACTTTCTCACGGTTCCCCTTATTGTCCTAACGGAGGGACTTGGTGTGTGTGTGTGTGTGTGTGTGTGTGTGTGTGTGTGTGTGTGTGTTTGTCTCTTCCCAACATCTGCTTAACACCTGTGCCCTTTCAGAGCCCAGGGGAAAGGGTTCTTTTGCTCTCAGATTAGGTCAGTTCTTGTTAAGTTCTTCCATGCCGTAGATAACTTAGCAGAAGCTACTGGAGTCATACCTGTTATGCCTATCGGTGTGAGTATTAGAGTTGGTTTAGTTTGTATTTACTAGACTAACAGCCACAAGGACCCAAGCCCTGTTCTTGCTCATTGTTATGCCCCAGCATGTAACCTGATAGCTGGCACAGAAAGAGTCTTTAATCTCCATCGAGGGAGTGAGTGGGCACCGGGTGCACTGAAGAGATTGGGTCGGCCAGGTAAATACTCAACAGAACTGCACGGATGGCTTATGTCAGCCTGATACACACCAAACCCATCGGACAGGAGGGAACTTCAACTAAGGGGATGCCTCCGTGAGACCAGGCTGCAGGTGAGCCTGCAAAGCACTTGATAATTAGTGATTGATGGGAGGCCAGCCCATTGTGAGTAGTGCCATCCCTGGGCTGGTGGTCCTGGTTGCTCTTAGACAGCAGCTGAGGAACAAGCCAGTTAGCTGCACTCCTTCATGGCCTCTGTATCACCACCTGCTTCCAGGTTTTGGCCCTGCTTGAATTCCTTCCTAACTTCCTTCAGCAATGAGCAGAAACATGGACGTGTAAGCCAAATAACCCTTTCCTCCCAAGTTGCTTTGGTCATGGTATTTCATTTTAGCAATAGTAACCCTAACTAAGACAAGACCCTACCTGCTGTATGTACACAGATGCTCATTTGTTCAGGGAATGGCATCAGCATGCTCCAAAGGATAGACCAATATTAAAAGGTAAAATCATGGCATATTTTATTGAACTAATTAAGTGTTCTAGTTTGTTGCAGTTGCTATGATAAACCAAAAGCAAGTTGCGGAGCCAAGGGTTTATTTCCACTTACAGGTAACAGTCTGTAATGGGGGAAGCCAAGGCAGGAGCTCGGAGCATAATTCCAAAGGAATGCTGCCTCCTGGCTGTTCCCAGGCAGACATTCAGTTGTAACAGACTTTCCTTTGGGCCATCAGTCAACTCCCAAATCATGACAGAGACATCTTATTAGTTCTGAATGCTCAGCTTTATCTTAAGCTTGTCCCACCAGCTCTTATAACTTAACTGTTTCTCTTCATCTGTATTTGCCTTGGGGCTTTTTACCTTTCTTTTCATTCTGTATGTCCTACTCTGTGTCTGTGTTGTTACTGGTCCCATTTGGGATGATGTATGTGACTTGGACAAATTATCAAACGTCTCTGGGCATACTTTCAGGTTTATTGTTACACATTTCCACATCACAGGTCCCGAGTGCTTATTCTATGTGTGTTCTATTGGTGCCACCTTTTAGGAGCAGGTGGGCTCAGTTATAGAGGAGATTAAACAGGAAGACAGGAAGTTCCTTCTCTAAATGGGTAAATGGGTGACGGAGGCCTCCAAATTCCTGGTTACCATTCACCACCGGAGGATGCTGAATGATTTTGAGTACCGTGGCATCAGTTTCCGGCATTCGGATGCCATGGTCCTCTTGGAGAATCCAAAGTTCTTTTCTCAGATCATGTCAGAAAAGACATGGGCCAGCTTCAAAGAGTCTACAGGAAAATAGTTTAAAAATCCTGAAGTTTATATTTGAAACATTTCAGACGTGTAATAATAAGGAGAACATTTTAGAAATCCTCAGATATCCTTCTTATAGCTTTAACAGTAATGAGCTCAAGGCCAGTCACCCTGTACCAGATTATTCTCAAGGAAAACCTCAACAGTGTGTCTTTTAACCTGTGACTGTCTTAAGATGTGTATCTTGAAGGCAAGGACTTTTTAAGTCAAAATTCAAAGATGGGCTATTTTGAATACCAGTAATAACTATGGTGGGTTGAAATGTACCAAATATTTACAAGCCATGACATTATTTAAAATAACCTTATGTTGTCATCCCTTTAGAGACCTCTGGGGCAGTGGCTCACTACTCTGCAAATAAAAGAGCAGATTTGGAACTTTTTCTGCTGTGTGTGTGTGTGTGTGTGTGTGTGTGTGTGTCTAAGTTGCATGTTGGTATAGTGCTAAATAGTAAAGCTCTTCATACATAACAAATAAAACAGGAATATTCCATAAAATAGTAATCATACACCCCCTGTTGAGAAGTGGCCCTGCCAGTGGTTCTGATAGGTGATGGAACATCAGCTGGACACTTGGGGAGGGAGCTGAAATGAGTGGACAGGCCAGCCACACAAAAGGCGTGTCTTAGCGCTATCACAATTAGACATCACATGTCTACCAATGTGCACTATGAAAATACACCTCACCACCATGGCTTATGCTTGCCAGAGAAAAATACCAGTTAGCCAGAAACGGAATCTAAGACGCCACATGAAATGCCAGATTCCAGGAAATGAGCTGAAATAGCATGTTCTAAGACATAGCTGACAGAAAGGAAAGTGGGGGAAATAGCCCTCCAGGAGACTAGAGGCATGACAACCACAACCAACACCATCTTTTGTGATTCTGACCCATGAAATAAAATACGGATATGGTTTGTATGATGTAAAAGATTGAAGAATACTTGTAAGTATGTAGATGCCACAATTTTTAGTTGTGTTTAAAAGAAATCTTTGATCTAGAAAGGTGGTCCAGCAGGTAAAAAACACTTTATACTTTTATGGAGGGTTCTGGTTCGGATCCCCACAACGTCATGGTGGCTTCCAACAGTTCTTAACTCCAGTTCCCAGGGATCTGACACCTTCTTGTGACTTCTACAGGCACCAGGCATGCAGTGGTGCATATACACACAGAGAAACACTCATACACATAAGATAAACTAAATCTGTAAAAACAAATATTTGTTAAAAACACATAGCTAGGACTGGCAAGACAGCTCAGGAGGGAAAGGTGCTTGCTGCCAAGCCTGAGGATCTGAGTTCTGTTCTAAGACCTCTATGGTAGAAGGACAGAACCAGCTCCCACAGATGGCTTTCGATTCCCACATGCTTACTATGGTATGTACATGCATACAAATAAGTCAGCCAATCAGCAGAAACATCTTCCATTTTAGAGCATCTAATAAATGCCTAGCACAGTGCTGCTCTGAAGACCTTGTTCCTCAGAGTGGGCTCTTCAGACCCCACACTGCAGTCACCTAAGCACTTGTCACACTCCAGAACCACTGACGAACCAGAGCCTACATTTTTGTGACATTATAAACCACCTGGAGTTAGAATTGAAAGCACTCTCTAAAACACTTAGGACTTGTGGGGGATGTGGTAGGGTAATAAAATTGGCTAATCTTGGTAGTTCTTAAAATTACGTGATAGTTACCATGTGGATTTATGACTGATACTAAATCAGACATGCTGGTATCAGAAACTGTGACTGTCCGTGTGTATCTATTTCTAGTTATTACTTGATAAGGGTTGAGATTTTTTTAAAAAAAAAATAAGACTGTGCCTCCATTTCTCCTTCTTCTAATTTGTCATGTTAGTGAATGACATTCAAGAGCTTTGAAAGTATATTTCTTTTGTAAGTATTTCTTATAAAATCACACTGTCCTTTTAAATTATTAGGGAGACGTATTTTAAATCACTAACTCAATTTGTTGTCAATTTTTCCCTCCAGGCACACTTGAGAAGGCCTCATAAGAGCCTCGATGGTACCCTGTTTGATGATGATGATGATGATGACATCGAGCGAGCAAGCAAGTGAGTCCAGCTCTGGGTTGTCCCGTCTAATTGCGTGGCTCACTGGCAGGAGGTTAGGTACTACTAAACTTCGGGTTTGCTCCCTCACAATGATCATCAGCAAACCGAAATGGTGCTCCTTGCAGCACTGTGAAGGGCGGGGCTTGGGAGAGGGGCAGGCAAGACAGACATGAAAGGTCCTATCCTTGGGAAGCAGAGTATTTACGGAGCTGTCCAAAGAGTGAAAAGGGTGACACAGGAGCACAAATTCTCACCCCACACTGAAAGCAACCAGGGATACAGGGACAGTGATGACAGTCATTTTGAAACAAACCGGGCAAGGGAGGGCCTAAGGTGAAGGTGACATCACAGGAGAGAAATGTGGAACTGTGTTATGTAATACGAAATAGGGAAATTATATAAACTTCAGTTTTTAGCAATTTTAGTAATAAATTGGACATTCTCCACATGAAATAAATGTGCTTTTATAAGAGTATTTATCCTTGTCTAAGACAAATAAGAAAAGGAAAACCATAGAAAATATGAAAAGCTAACTTGGAGTGTTGCAAACTTTCCAAGTGTTCAATCGAATGCTTCCAGTCAATTCCCAAAGTCCACAGGGGAGACCGATGAATAATCCAGCTTCGCGTTAATGAGCCATGACTTTGTATTTACTTGTTCTTAATGCATATACCCACGTGTTTTCAGTATTTGAAACAGATATATGCATAACTGTGGACAGATGGGCCATGGACTAATTATAATTTTTATTTCTGTTCTTTGTCCTTCCCTGTCCTCAAACCTCTCCTCACCTCTTTCCTTTTCATTTCCATTTTTATTTCCTCTTCTTTCCCCTTTTCTACTACTTCTCCCTTCTTTCCTTTTCCTATTTTCCCTCTGTAGTCCACACTAGCCTCACTCACTCTTGCAATCCTCCTGCCTCAGTCTCTAGAGTGCTGGGATTAAAAACTTGGACCTCTCCCTCCCCTTCAGTTCTGACTTTGTTGTTGTTCTGCTGAAATACTGCATGGAGGGCGAGCTGTTAGGACTCGGCCTGTGTGGGTTGTGAGTAAAGGCGACCGCTGCCCCTGTGTCTCCTTCCAGGGTGTCTTCTGAGGACGGCGAGGAAACATCTGCTTATTTCTACGAGAGTGACGACTCCATTGGAGCTCAAGTGAAAGCGCCTTATTCAGGTGAGATGGACTTGCTGGGGGAGATCCTGGACACGCTGAGCACGCACAGCTCCGATCAAGGCAAGCTGGCCGCTGCAAAGAGCCTGGACTTCTTCAGATCCATGGATGACATCGACTACAGACCTACGGTTAGTTGAGATTCACTTACAGGGTTAGATGCAAACACTCCTGCCTGTGCTGTGGTCGCAAGACCTCAGTTTATAGAAGCATTGAGCCTAGGTAGGAAGGAACACCAACTTCAAACCATGGTAAAAATTCCATCCTTATGAATTATTTCAGCTGCTAAAATTGCCATAGTATTCACTGCCCTGTGTCCACCCACTGTTCTGTGGAGCTACTAGCTGATGCTCTTTTCCAGCCAGATTCTCATCTAACTCTAGTTATCCTTGTGAAGACTTCATGTGAAATATTTTTACTTTAAACACTTTCTGGAGATTTAAAGAAAAACTATACAGGATCTGACTGTTAAGATCTTTTCCCCCCTGTTTTCTTGCTTTCAGAGCGAACAGAACAAAAGTACTGAATTAAGTTCTTTTAAAACCCGTGAGGTAGAAGTGCATGAGCAGGACCCCATTCTGACCGCAGAGAGCCTTGACTGTGCATTCTGCCCACAGTCTGAATGTGACAGGTGGCAGCTTAAACACGTAGAAACCAGTTTTTCGTGGTCCACCCACTCCCCTGTATGCCTGTTCATGGAGCTGGAAAGATTCTGTGAATCCAAATCAGAAGGTGGCCACTGCTCCCCTCTGGGCCATGCTCACACCCCTGACTGAATCCTAGGAGCCTTACTTTCAAAGCAGAAATCAAGTTACTGAAGAATCACTAATCTATTAAAAGGATTCTGAAGTTGTTATTTTCCTTTCCAGAACAAGTCCAATGCTCCCAGTGAGAATGACCTGGCCCTACTGTGTGCTTCTGGTGATCAAGGAGAGTGGAATCTCGGGCAGGATGACAGTGCCCTCCATGGCAAGCACCTCCCTCCCTCCCCCAGGAAGAGAGTTTCCTCCAGTGGGTTCACAGAGTCTCTGTTTATCCTGAAAGAGGAGAACAGTGAGAAACCCTGCTGTGCGGACAGTCTGTGTGACCCCGCTGTGGTGGAAAAGCCAGCTACTACTCCAGGCTTGGGTTTCCAGCCAGCTTCCCCAGAGGCTTCTCAAATGGGTGAAGGAGAAGCAGAGGTGAAGGAAACACTAAGTCAGGCCTCAGAGAGTCTGCTGCTGCCCAGTGTCGGGAGCCGCCAGTCCACTTTCGTTCCCTGGGAGAAAGGAGGAAAAGAGCCTGAGGGGCCTTCAGAAGGCGGTGGACTGCTCCAGGAAGTAGTGTCATTGTGTCACATGTCATGTGACTTCCAACAAGGTTTAAACATTTCAGAAGGAAATAGAAGTGAAGACCAAACTTAAGGTACCAGTAAAGGGTCAGTCATTGCCGCTTGCCTCTTGGCTTCTCCGGAGACATGTGGAATTAGTTCCCTGTGATGCGTCCAGTAAACAGAATCACTCATAGGAATGAAAACTCTTACTACTGTTTAATTGTTTTCCTTTGGAATGTTTCCCCATCTGTTCATCTCATGGAGCGTAAAATGAATTCTACTGTGCTGTTAAATCAGGTACTAATTTGTATATAGCCTGAACGTGTGTTTTGGACATAAGCTTTCCCAGTATTTGGTGCTTAATGCCATTCATTTTATTTAAACCAAGTGTGCGTATGTAACCCACACATATGACCAGTAGTTACTGTACTAGTTTGGTTGAGCATGAACTGATCGAGATGTCAAAACCGATAAAAAGGAAATAGCCTGAAACTGTTAAAACTTTTAACCCACTAATTGCCTTAATCTTCCAGTTATGCTAAACATACAGATCACGTGTGCAGATCTTGAAAGAGCAGTTATCTTGTCTTTCAGAGCAATAATGCCTTTTTCTATCGTAGAATTAAGCTCACCATTCTTTTCAAGTTTAAATGCTCTCTAGTGGAACTAACTTGCTTTTATAAAGACACTGCAGCCACGTTTTCCGAACAATGTAAATTGTATTTTACCTTCCACTCAGTGAAACCCATGAAGTGCTGAGTTACAATGTGAAGTTGAAGTCTCTGTTTACAGAGAAGCCCCTCAGACAGTGCCCGGTCCCTGTGTGCCGTGCTGACTGTGGTCCGCCTCAAGAAAGCCAGATGCCCTGCGGAGTCCAGATAAGCAGTTGTCCCTGTTCTCGCATCTGCGTCCCCATGAAGATGCCCATAGCCTTATCTGTGTTGGCTTTTTTAAATAATCAACTTTATTTTTAAAATGTTCTAGATTTATAGAAATCAGCCAAGGTGGTACGAAGTTCCCATCTCCCTGGACCCGGTCTCTGCTATTGTTAGCATCTTAGGCTAGTGTGCCACGTTTGCCACAGTGTTGGTGTCCTACATGGTAGAGCTCTGGCTGTTCCCTGACGTCCCCTTTCTGTCCTACCCCCTCAGAGTTCGAGATGACATTATCGTGTCTGCTGGGGCTCCTCTTCCTGCTGGCTCTTAATTTTTTTTTTTTTTTTGGTTTTGATGACCTTGAAAATGTCAGAAATACAGGTCAGATGTGTTGCCCAGTGGCCAGCTCCTAGAATTCGTCTGCTATTTTTCTCATTTTTACACTAGGATTGTAGTTGGAAGAAGAGGCTCAGAGAAGTAAAGTGCCATTTCCACAGTGTCTTACATAGTGTGTACTGTGAGCCTGTTCCATGCAGTGCTGACTTTGAACACCTGCTGGGTTTCTGCACTGTAAACTTGTCCGTCGTCCCCCCCCCCCCCCCCCCCCCCCCCCCCCCCCCGCACCTTCTGTTCTGTTGCAGGCAGGAGGAAGGGAGGAAGGGCAGGCACAAAGGAATTGTTTAGGGCAGAAGAGTTGCCTTCCTCACTTTGGAGCACATCTGAAAACATACACAGATTTCTCACACCAGACTGATGGTGTGGGCTAGCTTGTTTGTACCCTCCCTGCCTGTGTTCTGTATATCCCCAAACACGACGGTTGCTTTTCAAAATTTGTCTGTTTTTAGATTAAAAAAAAAAAAAAACTGTTGCAAAACCACTTAACCTCAACAAGGCCATACTCTAAAGTATTTACTTAAGGAATATAATTTCAACTAAAATTTTAGGAGATTTGTTAACATTGTGCATATTTATACAGGTCTTCTAAAAAAAAGAACTGTATTCCAAAATATATGTAATATATGTAGGTAGTTTTCCTTGTGGTAACTGTTCACTCATCTGTGGTGAGATGAGCTTGTCCTTATGAGATAGGCTCTGAATAGAGAGTGTGTGTGCTCCTCAGTTTACACAGTCATGCGGCTCGAGGCTGTCAGATTTTGCCTGTGTATGTCCTTCATTAATCCCGGTTTACGGAAATAAGAGAGGCACCACACTGTCACAAGGGCTGTTTTTAGTAAGAAGAGGAGGAGTTAGAGTGGTGATTCCACTCCTGGGCAAGCATTCCTACATAATCCCTGAACAGAATGCACAACCTTTAACATGAATTGGGAATGAGGTCTCTTTTTCTGCTTCAGAATGCATCGTCTAAAAGGTGACAGAGAACACTGGCTTCCGGTCCATGTCCCTGATAAACCCATGGCCACAGATTCCCGATTCTCTGCTTTGAGTCAGCTCGTGAGATGGTCCGCTATAACACTAGGCTATTTGAAAACATTTAGCCACTCGCAAATAGCGCCTTAAGACCCTTTAAAGCGATCTGTGCCTTACTCTAGCAATCAAAGCAGTGACTCATGTTAAAGAGAAGAAACAAAATCGTACACATTGTTCTTTAAAAAGTCCACATGTTGGTGCTTCACACCATTAGAACCTCAAGGATTTGATGTCAGCTTTTAATCGCAGCTCCCCAGTGTTATTTATGGTGGGTGCATAAGAAGTAAGGGGCAATAGACTGAGTTCTGAAAAAAGCAAAAGTAGTGTTTTCTGCTGGGCAGTGTTGGCATACACCTTTAATCCTGGCACTTGAGAGCCCGAGGCAGGTGGATCTCTGTGAGTTTGGGGCCAGCCTTGTCTACAGAGTGAGTTCCAGGACGGGCTCCAAAGTTACACAGGGAAACTCTGTCTCAAAAAAACCAAACCAAAAAAAAAAAAAAAAAAAAAAAAAAAGGTAGTATATTTTGTTATACCCAAAGCAAACCAAGTATTTTAAGTTCCCTGCTATTCAAAGTCAACCTTTCTGCCTGCGCTGTCATTTTAAATGCTGAGCACCAACCAGCTGGAGCTCCCCAATAGACTTTTCAAAGCTGCTTTTCATCTACAAGAGACTTGGATAACTCACTGCGCCAGCTTCAGTGTCTTGGATTTATATGCCTCTGAACCAAGCCACAAGTTGTCCTTAGTGTTACTTAGGCTTTGCACCCAGGTAGTTCAGGGGGCTAAAGGTAGAAGGAGAAACTTAGGAGCTGCAGCTGGTTAAAATGCAGATGCTCTGAGTGGCATACATTGGTGATTACCTAATTTAGCTTATCTTACACAGATTGTGGCATGATTATTTTTCATATTCAAAATTAATAGCTCCTTCATTAAGAAAATATTTATTGACTTTTTGTGCCAGTCAGGAGGAAGGTATACTATCTAAGGATATCGGGGTATGGGAAAAAACAATTACCCTGGGCAATTGATGAAAAGGGAAAGGAACTGCAGATGTTAAAATAATAATAATAGTGACTTTAATAATAATAGACTAGAGTGAGGTGTACTTGCTTAGATGGTCCTAGCTCAAGGGCTGATGCCGAGGACGCCTTCAGGAACAGCTGCTCTATTTAAAGTGTGCTCTAAGTACAGAGTCAATAACTTTCCTGGTAACTGCATGAGTTACTGGAACGCTGCTAAGATCCCACTTTTAAAGGACAGATTTGGAGACACTGCAAGGCCATCCACATGACATGGTGTCCCCCTTTGCAGGATGGGTGGTCACTTCCCCAGTTCAGCAATAACTTAAGGTATATATAGACTGGGACCCGGTCATGTTGATGGGAGTCCAGTTTTTACATTAAAAAGAGAAACCTTGGTAACAGCATTTTCTAGAAACAGCCCTGTTCATTTTAGTTGAAGCCGCAAGTGACAGTGTGGTTGAGATCTTATGCTGCTGTCTAAAGGTGTGTGACCCAGGAATACCCACCAAGTGGTTGGTAAGCAAAGGAAGACTTTGGTCAGCCACAGACAGCTGTGAGCATGCTTGGAATCAACAGCCATTCAACCTCCCCTCAGAGTTCCAGGACAGGTTCATCGCTTTCGTGAGTAAATTTTCTCATGAGAACTCCACTCTTTGGTGTCAGCGATTCTTGAATCTGAGACGATATTTGAAAATTAGGCATGTAAAATGAACCCCTAAATGTAGCCACTCCCCGAGCATGTAGGTAGTCGTTTTTAGAAACCCAGTTCCCCGTAAGCATCTTTCCCAGGTCCAGCCCAGAGTCCCATCACTGTCTGTTTCTTAAAGCTTCAAGGACTAGAAAGGCTTTGCAGCAGCCAGTTTGTGTTATGATTTAATTAAGAAATAGGGAATTGTGTATATTGAGACAGAAACATTTTATTTTGAAATATAGGATTTTGTGCAATATTTTTCTTGCATAATTTAGTTCATATGAATATGCACATCTGCTTTTCTGGCAGGTGCCTTAAGGTCATATCTTTCAGTATTTGCCTAAAACTGTATGTAGCAATGTTCTGTGTGATTGCAGAAAAAAATCACTTTTTCTATTGTTAGCTGAAGTGTTTTTGTTTATTTAAAATAATTGTGGGGATTGCATTATTGTATCATAACTAACTTCCTCAGCCACAATAAATATGCAATAAGGAAATCATGTACCTTTGATTAGTATTGACAATACTGTTACTTTAACAGAACTGTTGTGGTACAAAGTGCTGATTCTCTGTGTACACATTTAACTCCGCTTTGCACCACATGAATCTAAACGGCATATTTATGTGATAACCACGTATGTAGATTCTGACATCCTTTGTGATGAGTCTTTGTTGAGGCTTATAAAGGGCATTGTCAATACTTTTTGACTGTAAATTAATTTTTTTGTATGATGTACAGTTTGTTTAGCCTGAGAGCTCTATAGATTTCTACTTTTATTATACTTGAATGAGGCAGAAAGCACTGTGGGAAATTTGTAACTCTGGATGCAATATGCAGATATACCAAAAATAAAACAAGGTACCGAACAGCAACACTGACGGAATGCTTTATAATCCCGGAGTCAGTGTTTCTCAAGATGCATTGTAGTTAAATGAAGTAATTGAAGATATGCACTCTTTTATCCACACGGTATAGTCACAAATGATTACCTCTCGGATGTGTCAAAGCTGTAAGTCCTTTATAACTTCTCTTTCAGTCCTTAGATGAGGACCATCCATGATCCCACCTCTGAGTACATGATGTTTAAGACAGAACAAATTCAACTACATTGTGCGTATTGGATGCATTGCCTGTGGTAAATCACTATGTTTTAGACAGAGTAGCTTTCATAGATAATTTTGAGAATTCTTTAATAATCATATACCAAAAATTAACAGCTTAAAATCAGTTATAACTTAACTGTGCCTAAAACAACAAATACATGGAACCTTTGGACATGAAGGCCACACACATGGAGGATTCCAAATTGAATGTTTCCAAAGTTTGTGTTTAATGCTTTAGCTGAAGAGTTGTTGGCTCAACATGTAACCAATATGACAAAAAGAAACAAAACACTGAGCATTGAGGTATACTTCATTGCTCTTTTGTCCTTGAGGCTACAGGAGATCATCTCTAAACTTGAGTACTATTGGGAAGATGTTCTGTATAAAAGTATTGCTTTGGGAATGTTTTTTAAATATGCAAAATTAAATGTCGAATGAACTCTGCATTGCCATAAAGTACCCAACAATGTAGCTGAAAATAAAATTGGTCACAATCAAACACTGTGTGGTGGTGATGACTCTTCCACTTGCTAGGCGTCCTCCATACTGTTAAAGGAGAGTGGCTTTGTGGACCCAGCCATCTCCGTCTCCAATCTTTAAGTGCTGCAGTGTAAATCTTTGTGATTGTCCTGTGCGAGTGGTACCTGTTCTGATTGAACCATTTATTAGTTCTTGTTGCCGCAGCAGGATGACTGATGTAATAACGTGGATGGATGAGATGAACGGTTACTTTAGCTCATGGGTTCGGGGATCGCAGTGTGTAGTCCTCAGCTTTGTGGGATCTTGATCTTTGATAAGGCAGAAGGTCATGATGGTGGGAGCAGAATGGCGGGAGCTGGTCACCCCGGGGCAAAGAGCACAGCATAGTAGTGGTAGGAAGGAACCAGTGCAGGATGTGACCCCAAAGGATGCACCTCCACTTTGCATAGTTTCTCTGTTTCCCAGTAATTTATTCAAACTTTGAGTGGAAGGGATTATATCAGAGTGGTTAAGACTGATGATTGGTGGAAATGCTCTCACAGGCACACTTTATATGCCTTGCAAGCCTGGGCCTTTCTCACCAGGTTAGAAACAGGAGGATCCTTGCAGGCTTTAAAGGCCCTCAGGCCACCATGTCCTCAGGGCAGGGGGACCGAGTTCTGTTGACTTGCACAAGTTCAAGATCCAAGGACAGAGATGAGATAGAAACACACAAGAGCAGAGCTCTGGGAACCAGAAGATGAACTTCTCATCTGAGAGCTGTGATGGGTCTACCAACAGAGCAGAGGTGGAATTTGTGTGAATATAAGTATATATCACAATTTAGGCTCAGAATTTCTAGAAACAATAGGTAGAACTTCTCTTGTTTCAACAAGAAAAGCAAAGTTCTGAGAGGAAAGGGACATAACTTGCAAGCCTGGAGCTCTTCCGGCTGCTAGAGACTTTGATGCTAACCCTGGCTACCTTGACAAGCTGAGTCTCGGTACTTAATTGTGTCTTCACATGGAAGATGGCTATGTAGTCTATATAGGTCTTCACTGTCATTGTATAGAAATGGAAGTACTCTAAAAGTATTTTATAATGGGCTTGAGAAGGTCAAAGCCCAATGATCACGTGAACTACAGGCTATTAAAAGTGTGTGCATGAAGCATGAGGCATTGGTATCATAAAAACACTATAGTATAGCATGCAAGGCAAAACTAGAACATCTCAGTCTTACCATTGATTTGGGCCTATTTGTTCTGAAGCTTTATTTCTCCACTTAGTACAGGAGTGCCTGTTCTTATAATTGTTTAATATTTACTAGAACCATATATGGTTGGCTATTGATAAGTGATTTGGGGCCTTAAAAATATTCCTGAGTATCCATTTACGTTTGAATTTCCGGTCATTTGGAATATCCAAGTATAAAATATAACTGTAAAATCATAGATTTTTAAGAACTCAGTAACTCCCAAACCTTTCCCCACAGTATTACTAGGAGACCTTAAAATAAACCAAAGGACAAATGACTCTGCAATGTCTGAAGTAGAGGCTATAGGTGGTGTCCTATAGTGATGTCGTGATTAAGGCACAAATATATCAACAACATCCTTGAAGTGCTATAGCACTAAGTAACCAAGCTTGGCCGTGAACCCCACTGTGTGGTTTCAGCCCTGTGATGGTCAGTGCTGTCAATTTGCAAAACACAGATTCTTTTGGGAGAGGGTTCTCTGGGCATATAATGATTACAGATGGGAAGACCCCCCCCCCACGTGCGCTAAGGGGTGGGGCACCATTCCATAGAAGATCTTGGGCTGCAGGCAAGTCAAGAAAGCCAAATGAGCATTAATCTGCATGTATTCATTGCTGTTTTTCTTCTGACTCTGGACATTATGTGACCAGATCACTTATGTTCCTGCTGCCAAGAGTTCCCTGCCGCGACGGAGCTGTGAGTTGAAACAAGCCACAGGAAACAAAATCGCATTTCAGTGTTAGACAGAACACAGGATCCTGTTTCTAGGACCTTCCTGCACAGCTTGCTTCCTGTCTCAACACTCCCTCTTCAGTGTTGGACAACCCTGTCATGACAGAAACTATGCACATTTAAAAAATGAATTTCCACATATATATTTGAAAACGGTATTGTTTGGCTTTCTGGTGGTTTTCCTTTTCTCACACTCCCCGGCTCAGTGACTAATCCTACCTTAATCTGGTGTGTGTGTGTGTGTGTGTGTGTGTGTGTGTGTGTGTGTGTGTGTGTGTGAGAGAGAGAGAGAGACAGAGAGAGAGAGACAGAGAGAGAGAGAGACAGACAGAGAGAGACAGAGAGAGACAGAGAGAGAGAGAGAGAGAGAGAGAGAGAGAGAGAGAGAGAGAGAGAGAGAGAGAGAGAGAGAGAGAGGAGAGCGCTTTTACCCTTTCCCCAAAAGCTTGGTTTTACTTGCATGTGTTGAAGAATGGAAGAGGGAGCCCTTCCTAGAATATGTGGGATACCTGCTGGAGCAAGTTTACAGACATCATTTTGAAGGAGAGCAAAAGTCTGATTTGTAAGTTGCATAATACGGAGCTGGTTATTGCCATGTACAGCTGTCAAGAACATTTGAGCATTCCTTTCAGAATACCCACAGATGTTATCTATCATGTGATTTTTTTTATGTTCAAGCAACAGCTCTCGCAAGCCTCTACTCTTCTGATTTGTTATTTTATAGTCATATTTCCTTTAACTATGGAGAGTGTTTCTTATCTATGGTAGTATGAAGTACCACCATTTAAACATGGTGATTTTCAATTATATTTAATAACTAGTTTTCAGTTTTAGGACTTTTGAAATATTTGAAATGTTAACTTTGAAATATTTAAATACGGTAATAGTATTCACTTCATGTTGCAGCCCTTCCCCCCAAACACAATACTTAAAATATATTTAAATAAAAGACAAGTTAAGCTCCCTGAGACTTGGTAAATATCCAAATTGTATGCAACCATTAGGCAATTCCCAGCATTGGAAACAGATGTTATAGCTGTCCTTTCTCTGCAAGCTTCCCTTAGAAACGATGTGCTTGTTAACAGACCGTCAGAAAAGCATTTGAAATTCCAAGCCAATGACAACTGAAACTTGAAATTGTTGTGTTTTTAAATTCCTTACTAAAAAATATTCAAAAGCTATTGTTTAAAAAACAACAAAAAATGCTGTTAAGATTGATGACCTTATACATACTGCAAAGACTCATTCACGAAAGCTGGAACGCTGGGCATGGGTGTGTGGGGATTGTTTTTAGATGTCCATTGTGAATTTGTTGGCATATGATGTGAGGCAGGACTCTGGATGCTTTGGTGAGAATATTCTGGAAGGGTTTAAGTTTGCCCGGGACCACTGATTTGTTCTCACTCTCCTTTAGCTTTTTAAGAATGTCACATATTTTTTTTTTCTTTTGGTCTTTTTTGAGACAGTTTCTCAAACTTGTGATCCTCCTACCTCAACCTCCTGAATGCTGGGCTTACAGGTATGCATCGCCACCCCAGGCTCACTCGACTTTTAGCAAAGCTACTAGGTGTGCAGTAGTTTCTCAAATTTGTGCTGCTGCTGACCTAGGATATCTTGCGGCCAGATCACTGGCTTAGGAAGCAGGCTTTGTACCAGGGTGAGGACTACTTTGCTCCTCCAGTAGCGTGCAGAGTCCTCTCTACAACAGTGGTTCTCATCCTTCCTAATGCTGCAACCCTTTAATTCAGTTCCTCACATTGTGGTGACTCCCAACCATAACATTATTTTTGTTGCTATTTCATAATTGTATTTCGCTAGTACATATCGTAGTGTAAATATCTGTTATGCGTGTTATCCGATATGCAGCCCTTGAGAAAAGATCATTCAACCTCAAAAGAATCTCCCTACCTAGGTTGAGAACCTCTGTTCTTCGGGCTTGGCCTTGGTTTGCCTTGAAGGCCTAATGGTCTTCTCTTATTCTTTATAATGATGATTTGAATTCTTTTTTTTTCTGGTTTCTTGGTCAGTCGGTGTGGCTAGGGTTTCTCAATGCTTTTAATTTTTGAATCATCTAGTTGGACACCAGTGTGATATCTGTATGTTCCTCACTTAAGGGCCTTACCATCAGGTTATGGAGAGTAACCAATAGCCTTAGAAATAACCTGTAACTTTTTAAAGGATCTAGGTGACCCCCTTGTCCAATGACTCAACATGTTGTAACCCATTTTTGGCACTGGAGGTTTTACTTGGAGTTATCAGATGTTTAGTTTGGGCATTGTCTCTTCCATTATATGGTGACTCCATTTCATTTCCTTTTGCGTATGTATATTCTAGAAAGCTATGGTAGTGAGCTTTCAAGTGACTATTCAAAAGATCTACAGTGTTAGCCCTCCCTCTCTGTATTCTCTCCTGTTTTACACCCACCAGCTCTCCATTTAATCCTATTCTGGTTTCTCTTTTATCTCTAGAACTCTATACTCTTACTTTCCCTTCTTTGGAAGATCCCCTCTTTGAACCTGGTTTCTTACTAGGTACCTAACCTTTGTAGTTATTCTAGTTGAAGTCCAAAATCAAAAGTGTAAAAGTTAGCATGTTTTTTCTTATATGTGGATATTCAGCCTTTTAAGAATGCTGTTAGACCTAGTTTGTAGGCATTCTTTATAGTCTTCATCTATTGAGAAGTCTTTGCAACAACACATGGTGAATATTTGAATA